GGGCTGGTCCTGAGCTTTTGTGAAAAATACTGTTGGGTTGCAGCACGCAGAAAATTCTAGTAAAAAATCGCAGTAATGCTTAAGAATTCGTTCCATATAAGGTAATCTTATCTCACTTATATCATATGTAATAAATTATTGAATGCAGCGGAAATCCTACGTGGCGTAAAATCGTGTCTGTAAAAAGAAGAATAATATTATATCAATGCAAAATTAATGCATGCTCCTTCTCCTGAAGCGACAGACAAGATGTAAAAGTATGAAACATTATTTGATAGGGTAAAGCAAGCTATAGAAGATGATATTTGAAATCGCAAAAGATTCGACGTACATGAAGTTTGGGAGAAAATCCAGAAAGTTCAAACACACAAAAAATGGCTTTCTGTCAAAAAAGATCCAGCCTCCAACTTGGTCATATACTATACACATCATACATTCATATGTATACTTGCCGTATTTTTTTCGTAGCTGGAGATTGAAAAATAAAATTAGACCGATAATACGAAATGTCGCCTTTTTCGGGTTTTTATGTCAAATTTGATATTTCTCCACAACCAACGCTCGAGGGCGAAAATTTATTGTTATGCTTCCAAAGATCGTAGTTTGGAATTATCTAAGTCGGGACAGCCAGCATTGCTCTTGCTACAGCATGCCAAATTTTATTCCCTCATTTTTTAGCCATAGAAAAATTACTGCAAGGTATATGCGTAGCTTTTGCAACAGGTAACTTTTGGTTGGAGGCTTTTTAGAAAGAGATCCAGTTCTCGGATATCTGGAAATTTTTGGACTTTCCTTCCTAATTTCCCATGTATCAAACTTCCTACGATGATTTAGAGATCATCTTGTAGGATCTTACTTTGCTCTATCAAATGATATCTTTCCTCCGTTTTTATATCCGCTTCAAGTTAAAAAAGCATGCATTGATTTCGCATCAACCTAGTACTACTTATCGAAGAGACAAAATTAAACAAATCATCTTTGAGAGACTAAGTCCTAAGGTATGAACCAAAATAAAGATTAAAGGCTATTGCACCTTATACTATTTCTGCTACCAGAATGTAGATGCAAATTGAGTGCTTGCATTTATCAGCTTTCAGTGCCTAATAAGGCAACTATAACTTTTGTTGATTTTCAATAAAAGTGAAAGATTCATTGGATCTGGGAGTTTTGAAAAAAAAAGAAATTATTTTTTTTGAAAATTGAAGATTTCCACCTGATAGTATTCAGTGTAGTTCGTGGTTTAGTGAAGACCGAATGAAGAGAACTTGGTATGACAGTGACCCATAGAGGTTGGTATCGCATTTGGTTACAATTTTGAGAGGCTTGTTTTATCTTGTTATCATTATTCGAACTTATTCTTGACACCAAATGCACAACAAAGTATTCCATATCGATGACAGAAATAATTATGGAGCAAATAATGGAATTTTTATTTCATATGACTGACGCAAAAAAATACTAGTGGGTTGTTGGTTTCATAAGAATGGTTTTATATGCTCTTGCGAAAACGTAGCAGTCCATTTCGCCTTAAGAACATGCCGGTCTGCGACAAAATAGTCAGTTCGTAACTTCCGTGGTAACTAGACCCAGATAAACTACTCCTTCGACAGTTAAAGCGAATTCCGCTCAGATTAGAGTGCGCAGATTTGTATAAGGCAAGGAAAAAAGCGATGTTGGTGTTGAGTCACTCAACTCAATCTTTGAGCTCTACTAGCCAATTAGGATAACAAAAGGTTCAATAGTCCTTTGTACCTACGGACTAACAAGGCAACCCATCAATAGGGCGTCGTAGCATCGAATAGGACATTAAGTTTGCAAAGCGAATGCTTCCCTTTCAATCAGCAATTATGTTTGCTTTAAAGTGCTCTAACGTCAAAATTATGTAAGTTTGAGTATCTCGAGTGCAAATATGTAGAGGAGCGACATTTAAGGTCCGTATTCTGCTTCGAGCCACTGCCAAGTGAACGATTTTGCGTTGAGACGAAATTAACCACTTTCCAATGTGTGGCTACTCTTCAGAGGATTGCCTAGGACTGATGATACGATACGTATAAAACAGTGGCGGTCCTAGGATTTCCGTCGGGGGGGGGGGGGTGGTGGGGGGCAAAATGTCTTTCAAACTAATGCGTGGCGTTAGCCAAGCACTCCGAAAATTTTTTTGGGTGCTTCTTAAATGAGCCCGCGAAAATTTTGAGAGGCATACCAAAAATTTTATCTCGGTGCGGGCTAACGCTACGCACCTTCATCAGAAAAAATTTTTGTCGCCCCCCCCCCCCGCCCCGAGCGGAAATCCTGGGTACGCCACTGCTGGATACCTTGCGGCATCAGTTTGTTCCTGACAGACGGATTCCGCCTCCATATGCGAAATGGAATGATAATTATGAAGATATTGTACAAAGCACTCGGCTGTGTGTATCCGTAAATCCTCCCGTTCGCCCTTCTCGGAGAGGTTAGGTATCTAAGGTTCCTCACTGGTTGATATTATCTAAACGTAAAATGTAGATGCAGCTCGGGAATCTCGTAGATGGTGTGCTCCGACTCGCAGTTATTGGAATGGTGATCATCTCTGGAACCGCGCAGGTCTTCATGGGTTATTGGTGGTACTTTCCCAGTGACAACAGGATTTTATTATGAGTGAATGCGCGGAAGAGTTCGACATAGAAACTTTTCGCGTTTTTTTTCCATCTTATGTCGAGAAGAAGTAGAAGTCCTTCGTGCAATAGTGCTGACAGCAGTACGTGATATTCGCAGGGAAACGGTCAACATGCGGGATTATGTAGATCATCAACTCAAAAACTCAGTTCAGTGTGATATGAGCCTTCAAAAAATAAAGAACAAAGTGCTTGGGCTTAATAGCTGTTTGAAGTTGCTCCGTAGAATTTGACGGATTTCGGTGAAAAACTGATTGTATGTTTACGAATTTGAAGTCAGTTGCATTTCCAAGGCATTTGAACTTCAACATTTGTTGTGAATCTATTTTGTGGTAATAAGGCTGAACCCATGCGGATATCTAGTATGTCTAATTTTGGTATGCTATCTCGTTTGCGGCTAACAATGAAAATTGCGCTTCTTCAGTACATATACCCATACCAGTGGCGTACCCAGGATTTCGGCTCGGAAGGGGGGGCGCGACAAAAAATTTTCTCTAATAAAGGTGCGTGGCGTCAGCCACGCACTCCGAAAAATTTTTTGGGACGTTTCCCAAGATTTTTCCGGGCCCCTGACCCCAAAATTTTAGAAAAAGGGGGCGTGGCGACAGCCACGCCCCCGAAAAAAATTTTTTTTCAAGGCTAATTTGAATTTTTAAAAAATTTTAAAAATTATTTTAATTATTTACAAGTAAAAACAAGTCCTCTCCACATTTTTATAATACATTTAAGTAACTTTCAAAAATTTCGCGACCCATTCTCGGGGGGGGGGGGCGCTCCCCCCCCCTTGGTACGCCACTGACCCATACATATACATTTTCGCAAAGGTTCCCTTGACATTTCTTAAGAATCTTTTTTTCGTCTTTGGCGTACTTATGAAGTCCCTCTTGTAAGGCTACTTTGCAGCTGGTGTTCGCTACTAGCCGCTCGAGATGAATTGCATCTGGATCCTGTCTCAACGCCTTCTATTCCCTCGCAGTACATTCACAATCTTTTTACTGCGTTACGTCTCTGAGAGCCTAATGCTTGCCAGATTTCTAGCCATTTTGGCTGACGCATAGACGTCTGCATAAATCCAGAGAAATTCGTTGTGTATCGCATAGTTCTTAAACTATAAGATCTACAGGACTCCATCCCGTGTGATAAGACTTTTGTCTTGAATAATTCATCGAGACGAACAGACGATATTCAATGGCGGGTTTCAAATCTTGAAACTGGTAACGTACATAAAAAGCAGACACAGGATTGTGTTCGACATTGTATACGACTTGGACCCAGGGCTTGGCACGAGGTGGCTTACAAGCAAGCTGGATACCGTTTTTGGGACGAAAAGCAAAGGGGGTTTCGTTTTTGTGACCGAAGACACACGCAAAATTGGCGATTTGACGACGTTTTTTTCTAGTCGACGTTTCGTTTTTTGGAGGATTTTAGGGAATATCGTGGGGGGTCAAAGGGGACTTTGTAAAAATACCCAATAGTCAAGGGGGACTTCGTTTTTTGCATTTTCATCTAGCCACCTCGTGCCGAGCCCTGCTTGGGCCTTACGAAATGGCAAATATATACGAAAAACACACGCGCAATTGGGAAACATTCGGGGACTCTGCGGCTTTCGGAGATAACACCCTTTTTAGGAATTTGTAGAGAAGTGTCAGAATTTGCTTACAATGTGTCCGTCTGTAGTTGACTTTCTGCAGAAACAGTTTTGTTCAGCAGCTGATTCTTTGTAAAAGTCACCTATCAAATATTCTCCAACACCACGAAACGCCAACTTGCGAAGATTTATTGCATGTCACAAATTGCGACATGGTCTTTTCTAGCATTGTTTCTGATCATAGAGGTAATGTTTCGGAATTTTAAAAAATACTCGAATTTTTATGTGATACTGAAGCGGTCTCTGAGCCTCTGAGCCACCCATATCCTTCAAAGATGAGCAGCTGTTGGAACCCGCTTTGGCTCACTTTTGGTCGATGTTAGTTCTTAGGAAAGCTTCAAGCTTTCATCGTTGTTGATCCTACATACAGTTTCTGATGGTACCCCATTTCACAGTGAGGTAAACCACCAAGAGAGCAATTAGTCAAAAAGTACGGCCAGCTAATTTAATGCAAAATGAGGTCTCAAAACGGGTCCGGCTGACGAGTAACCAAGGTTTGCAGAGACAGGAGGTAAGCGAACAACACTGAATCTTGGAGGTACTAAAGTGACACTGTGCAATCGAGGTCAGAGGCATCAGGAATGTAATATCTTGTGAAAAATACCAGAAAAAAGAGGTAACTTCACACAGTATCAGCAAATATGAGCAGTAATGATATAGAATACAGCGAAAGTCATAGAACGAAAAATATTATGTACAGATCAGAGAGCGAAGGGAAGATCGGGGTATACTGTTTTATTCTGAGCAAGAAGTTCTTCGATGAGGGTAATGTTGCTCATTGGATGATCGTCATCGTAGGCCCACAATGGAAACTCATGGAGGGAGAAGAGTGTACGACCCCAGAATAAAACGTTGGCCATCGTAATTAAAGTGCATCCGACAGTGACAAATATTCCGGCAAATGCCTAGAATATCCAAACATATTTTTTATCTAGAAGCTCTGTTCGAGGGGTTCAAGTATGTAACCACCAGGTTTGGGGACAACATAAGTCAGAAACGAACCATGTCGGCCACTTGCACAAGGCCAGTGCCAAAAACGATCGCATTTGGTGGAGTAGCGACGGGAAACAAAAATGCGAATGATGATGATACAGCTACAGGAAGCATGAAAAATAGCGGATTGGTGTCAAGTGATCTGAAATTGAAGTTTATTAACAACTATTATAGGAGACTGACTAAGTTGAAGCAATGGCGTATATACCTCGCTAACTCTGCAACAATCGGTATGAAGATCGAAGCGATTACTGTATTCGAACATATGTTGGTCAAGCAAACAGTTATACAGATACAGATCAGCATTATTACATTGACTGGAAACATCGACAGACGTTGCATGACCTCGCCTATCTCAATCGACAGATGAGATTCCTGGAATAAAACCGTGTATATTATTTAGAAAGCAGGAGGAAAAATGGTGCAATTCAAAAATACAGCGTATCAGTCTCAAAAGATGGCAAGATCGCTTTCTCGCCGTTTTGAGGCTAGATTTGACATTTTATAACAATTAGCATATGTACGACGTCATAATTTTACTTATAAAGTTTTGAAAGTTTGCAGCACGCAAATGCATATATGTGTATATGTGAGAAACCCAGGACTGCTAAGTGCTAATTTTATCACTTTCCACTTTTCATGTTTTCTCGATTTCTAATCTCAAGAAAATACAGCGGAGTGATGAGTCTACTACATGCAGAAGCAAGTAAGAGATCTGCAAATTTTCTTGAGCGAAGACTGATAAGATCGGACGGATAGGGCATGGAAGATTAGCTTGTAGCCGATCAGAAAAAATCGCTCCCATACCGTGGTGTGGTTGAACGGCTCGCAAACTGTTCCCTATCTTATTATTACTGACTTAATCAGCTGTGCAAAGAGTAAAGTGAGAAGGAAAAACGTAAAAACGTGCCACACCTTTACTCCAGCTGCTAGTGCGAAACCACCGCCTAAGAGGAGCACAACGCTCCAGGGAAATCGCTCTTGTATAGTTGGCCAATCCAGCAGTGAATCACGCACGACATGGCGTCCGGATCTTCCTCTTCCTAGGCAATAAGAAATGGGTGTGCTTCTATACAGGGTGTTTGAAAAAGTTGTGGAATCAAGTGCACTGAATGCGAATTCTGACGCACTTTTTTTTACTGTATCTGCTAGATCTATAGACCACTGAAACAAAGAAAAAATTTTCCTGCTGGAAGTTACCGCAAAAATTTTTCATCAGTATTTCCTTGAGGAGGCAGAAAACCGCGTCACTTCAATTGATTCTTTTTTTGCTGGAAAAAGGAAACAGGTTTCCGTTATTCTTCTGCCAGATGTCCTAAGTCTACATTCTCTGTACACAACAAAAATCCTCTAATAGCTTGAGATCAAGGTTTTTCATGTCATAAAAGTTTTGAAGTCTTGTGTTCATGTGCATTTGTAGCACAAATCCTTCCCTATTATTGTGCCCCTCTTCCAGGATTGTTTGTCTTTTAAAGTCCTAAGTTGGTAACAAAGTTCTCTGTAAAAATGATTTTGTCTTTGCAAGCAGCACTGCAGAAAAGAGGATGAAAAGCTGCGTTAATTGTTTCAACCTAACAAAAAATCAAAGAAACCGCATGGAACTGTTTTTGTTGACGATGGTCTCTAGGTTTGGTTAGCACAAAGAAACAAAAAGCGATTGTGGTGCTAAGTACTCCCATATGAAATAGGAGTCCAAACACCCGTATTTGCATATCAACGATAGTACGTACCTCTCTTAAAACACATAGGACGTTTATCCGGTATGAGGAAGAGCAGCAGGACGACGAATATAGCGCTTGTTGCGTCACTGATATACCTAAATTTCTGAGGTGTGACTTCAGCAAATCGTGCAGACTGCAAGAGAAGTAGATGAGATGTTACCCTCGCTTGAAATAGGCTCCAAATCCAGGTATGACGTGTGGTTCTCTAAGCATCCATAGCGCCAGAAGAAGTGTGAAGCATGCCATGACAGCCATCTGTAACATTACGGACGGGATATAATCCTTAGTTAACTAGAGATACGATCAAGCGAACACTTTACATTGAACTGCAAGATGGTAACTCGCCTCCGCAAAAGTGGTGCTCGGAAGTTTCTCATATTTCTCTCTCAACTTCCGCGAAACGATAGCAGATCCTTGTGGAGCATTTCTTAGGAAAACAAGATTGAGGACGAACCTAAGAATTTGCATGGAATCTCAACGAATGGGATGTTGGGGGAAGTAGTGGAAAACTTGTGAGTGTCTCCTATATTACGGAAGTAAAAGCCAAAGAAAAGCAATTCTGAAACATCTTCAGCGTCAGTGGATAGTTGCATTACTAATAATTTCATATCAAAGTATTTCAAGAAAGAGGATCCTCTTATATGACCCCATTTCAGGGGTAAGACTATGAAGCAGTATGCTTTGAACAACCAAAAAAACCCCCCTATGTAGATGGAGAAGAGGCACACGTACGTACTGAAAAGTCGTGACTGGACACTTACCAGCAAAACACAAGACAAGCAAGAGCTTGTGGAAATGCGAATGTGATCCACGAGACAAAATTTATTCCCGTGTCAGCGGTAGGGAATAATCTTAACAGAAAATTATGGCGAACACTAGCTACTATGTATGAAACTTGAAAAGCAGACTTCTCCAACTGTCCAAGTAGCACTAGGTTTGACGCAGTCCCGGTGATCGTCGCTGACCCTCCGATATTGGCGGCGAAACATACAGATATCAGAAGGCCTTTTGCCATTAGATGTTCACGCGGAGTGAAAAGATTGCTCATATCTCTCAAAATTTCTAGTTGTCACAGATAACGCTTCAATATGAACTTACTTCTGGTGAGCTTGAATAATGTTGTCTTGGGTGTTGGACAAACGACGCATGTCGACACTTCTTCTGCGGTTTTCCATAGAATGTACTTCGGACAAAGCCAAAAGTTCATGCATCCTACAAATAGCAGGTCGTGGAAGCACTTCTATGTTTCTACTTATTCTCAGCAAAAGAGATATACTCAGCCATTTATATTAGGGTGAACGGTAAAAAATGGGACACCTTGAGAATAATTGCAGATTTCTCAAGGAAGAAAAGTGACTGAACTTTCCAATTTTGACGGACATTAGAATAAATTATTCTCTTTCAGATAGCACCTATATAAGGTCATTTAAATAATTGATAATTTTTATACTTGCTAAAATGCAAAGTTAGTTACTTCGAGAAATTATGAAGTTTGAGCAGTATCGGCGCAGTGAAACATGTGAGACCACCCAAAGTACCGCTGCTGGAGTGAGTGGTGGGACAGTCACCAAACCCACGACGGCTTGGTGGCTTTAACTCTCAATGTCAGGAGATATGCCCATTAACAGCTTCGAAAATAAAGATACGCGTTATTCAATTCTTTGCAGGTAAACGCATGATTTCTAGGTATCATCTGATAGAGCTTTTTACGCTCTATCCATCCATATGCAGCTTACTTCAGATTTCATCTATCTTCGGAAAATATAGGGCAAAACATGATTTTTTGGTTTTTTGTTGCGCCAAAAATAACTATTTTTCAGGTTTTTTCGAATTTTTTTTCTGAAATTGAAAAGAAATCTCATGCATTTAACATATCGTTCGAAAGAGCATGAAGAGCTCTTTCGAATGGTATGTCATTTGCTTTACGACTTTACGGTATAACAGCGCAAGATTGAGGATTGTGCAAAAAACTCTGTTCGAGTTCTTCACGGCGCCACGTGTAGGGCATAGGTGCGATAGGGGGAGCCGGGATCTTCCCAGGTGAAGGGGGTCTCGGCTGTTCCCGACCTTCCGGGGTGAAGGGGGTATGTGAGTCTAGGGGGGGGGGAGGAAGAGAGAAAAGGTAAGAAAGCGTGGGATGAAAAGCTCTAATTTGTACCTTATTTAGGCACAAATTGGAAAAAAAATTAAAAAATTTTCAAAAGAAATTTAAAAATTAAAAAAAAAATTTATTATGAAGATCTGTGCTCCTGTTTCACTGCATCAACAAAAAAGCAGGGTTTATCCCAAAAGATGTACCCTATTTTCAGGTGTATAAGCCGCACCTTTTTCACTCTAAAGGCGAACACGCCAAAAGACTGGCTGTCATCATGGAGCGCGTTATGTGAGAGCAGTATGCGATAAAGCGACCGCTTCGCGAGACATATGCGCGGCGGCACGCCTGGGTCTGCTCGCGTTTAGAGCAAAAAGGGTGCGGCTTATACACCTGAAAATAGGGTACAAGTTAGGAACAACTTCATTTCCTGCGCATCATCATCAACAATATCACTATCGCTAACGTCAGAGACAACAAATTCGGTGCCTGAAAAATCTTCTTCTTCCTCAAAAAGGTCATCGGAGTGGAAGTAGAATTGCGTGCAAAGCGTTCTAAGTCAAAAATGGATTTAAAACTTTCTTCTTCTTCCAAGCACTTTTGTGATTTTTTTCCTAGCCCTCTGGTAGCATCAGGAAGTCAGCAGGTAGGTGACCAGTTTCTTCATACCATCTTTTAGGATATTTCAAAAAGTCATACGGTAACAGCCTGTCTGGACCACTTATAGCAATCCTTTAAATGAAGTTTTTAGATAACAATGTGTTTAGTAGAAGGTTGACAAATCTTAAGTATTTGCTTAGATGCTCTATCGTTGTACGACTTCTGCGTTGTGTTCTGATAACAGAATAGATAGAAAATTTCTTTCTTCACCTCTGCCGTGCTAATCGGAATGGAAACTAGCTTTGCTAGTAAGTCCATCAGATTTTTGCGGTAAGTAATGGGAAAAGAGCCAGATAGCATATGCTTTCGCAACACGAAAAGGAAATAGTGCATACTTTTTTGGGCCTTTTCGAACTCTGGCTTCACCTCCTCTGGCATACTTCGTGTTAACTGACGAGAAAGCTGCTCAACTTCTTCTTCAACAGCATCTGCGGAATAGCCGAAAAAAAGTAGATACTATGCTGCGCGTTGGTTTTTTTTTCAATATCATAGGTCATAATGTCACAAGACGAATAACTTCCAAAAGCATAAAGCACAGGGTTGGGTTCGCACTCCAGCCGGGATCTAAGTGCAGTAACTATGCTTTGTAGTAACACCTTCCTTTTGTTCATATCCATGTTTGTGAATTTAGCAGCCTTGAATTCTTCAGCAACCTGAAGATCAGCAATGGATTTCCTGGACATTTCCTCATTGAAACTAGACAATCTGCTTGGTTTCCTTATGCAGGAAATCAGAGAGTTTCAGAGTTTCGCTCAATTGTCAACTCTCTGTCAATGTCGACAACATTTTCGTCGGCGTAAGATTCTCCTTCTGCCTCGCTACTGAACTGGAACACATGCGAGTCATCTGCGATTTTGTAAAGTATTCTGCCTGCCGTTTCCTCTTCATACTGCCAACCTTTCCAAAACATTGAGGGGTAATTTAATAACATGTTATTCTTCTGAATGTCTTAAAGTTTTTGATTCATTGAACCCAACCACCTTCTCTACAAATTAGGTAAGGTGAGTCTAGAGCGTTTTCATGAAAGTGACCTTCTTCAGCACTAGGTTTACAGAGTATAGATTCCGGAAATGGGCAGGTTTTTGTGTGAAGGTGTGGAAATTTACCAATCTCCCATAGTTTTTTGAGTGTGCGCTAATAATGATGGCATAACTGTCAATCAAAAGCGCATTTTTTACCAAAAAAGCATAAACATATAACAACGACAAGGACGCTCAAATAGACGCGTTTGCTCACGTTCCCGTTAGTGCTGATAACGATGCCAATCCACAGCACATTTTTTACTATTAACTTGCTCCACCTCGCTCTTATTAGGTCGTCCAGAAAGTTTTTGCGCATGAATTTTAAAATTCATAACTTCTGATTTTTCCAACCGATTTGACTGCTTCCACATTTATGTGAAAGGGTAAGTCATGCTCTTTATAATGACTTCTCAGTTGCTTAGTAATGGTCATCTGCTGCATAGATAGGAGCAATAGAAGAAAAATGGTAAAAATTTTAATTTTATGTGTAGGGTCATAAAAAATCGGAGACTTGCAACAAAAATCGGAGCAGTCAGTACTGTAGGATCTTTCACCAGCTCTCTCTAACAGTGCAAAGTTTGCGCCGATTGAGCGTCTCCATGAAAAGTTATGATTTCCCTGAAAAATGCCAAAATAAATCAAATTCGCCTTTTTGTATTGCTTGCTCGGAAATCATAACTTTTCATGGAGACGCTCAATCGGAGCAAACTTTGCACTGTTAGAAAGAGCTGGTGAAAGAACCTACAATACCGACTGCTCCGATTTTTGTTGCAAGTTTCTAATTTTTTATGACCCTACACAAAAATTCAAATTTTGAGTGATTTTGGTTTTGAGCTTCTATCTATGTAACAGATGACCTTTACTAAGCAGCTGAGATGTCTTTATAAAGAGCATGACTTACCCTTTCAAATAAAAATAAAAGCAGTCAAATCGGCCGGAAAAATCAAAAGTTATGAATTTTTGAAAATCGTGCGCAAAAACTTTCGGGACGATCTATACAATGTGTTGGTTTTTACGGGTCACCGAAGCAAATGATTTTTAGAGCCGGGAAGCAAAGAAGCCCTAACATGCTGTATACCATTCGAAAGCTGAGATCATGGAAAATCGACGTAGACCGTCGACTTTTTTCTAGGTCTTCTGTGCCGCGAGATATGAGGGATTTTATGTGCTTCAAAAATTAACTGATTTTGTGCCCTCACTTTCTGCTCTCCAAATGAATGCTACGAGAAAGTCGACGGTCTACGTTTGTTAATGAAGACTTGCTCTTTAACATAGATAGATAACCAGCTGTGATTAGGTCTTCATTTGGCAGAAATCTGCTGTTGAAAATGACCATGTTTTCAGATAAAATGCGGTGTATCTCTCGGTAGAGGGAGGCTAGAAAGAATTCGACGGTCTAGATCGAATCCCCTTTTCCTGAGCTTTCGAATGGTATATAGGTTGCTGGGCGAAAAAACAGACCAGTTTTCAAAAATGGGGTGGAGATATTTACTATTAGCTTGCTCCAATCCGGCTCCACCAATGTATTGGCTTTTATCGGTTACCGGAGCAAATGATTTTTAGAGCCGGGAAGCAAAGAAGCCCTAACATGCTGTATACCATTCGAAAGCTGAGATCATGGAAAATCGACGTAGACCGTCGACTTTTTTCTAGGTCTTCTGTGCCGCGAGATATGAGGGATTTTATGTGCTTCAAAAATTAACTGATTTTGTGCCCTCACTTTCTGCTCTCCAAAATGCTACGAAGATAATAATATAAATAAATATAAATACCTTTTCTTTAGTAAATTTATGAGTTGCTTGTTGTTTGAGGTACTTAACCTGCAAAACCTTTTAATATCGATTTTTATCATATTCTCAGAGTACAATACCAATCTCAGCCCAGGTGAAGGGGGTCATCGGGAGTTTGGCCTCAAAGTGAAGGGGGTAAGATCCATCACTCCCCCTATCGCAACTATGGTGTAGGGTAGTGGAAGAGGAGCGTTAACGCGTTGTCAGAATAATAAGCGAAGGTCGCCCATGTAAGCGACGTTTAAGTTGCTGCTTACTTGCTATTGCCAGAAACAAAAAATTCCAAAATGTAATGAAAATCAAGCTGTCCCATTTTTTACCGTTCACCCTAATATTTCATAAGGTTAGTAAGATTACGTTGAAGGCAATGGGTCGGAAAATTTGTATTTTCAGGTTTACTTTATCATATTTGGCTATTCTGGTTGTTCCAGGTCAAAATTTCGATTTTTTTTAGAATTTTGAGAATTTGGCATCGCCTTTTTATCGCATTTTTGCCATGAATAGCTGAAAGGGCGGGACGACCAGCCAATCAACCAACGGCACCGAAAGTGCTGTATCTATCCAGCATCCGGCAGTCAATCGTTTTTCAGAAGATTGACTCCCCATTTGTTCTCAGTCTTCATGCAAAACGAATTTTTCAACCCTCTCTTCTCTCAGAAGCTAAGCGCGGATATACATAGAGCACCAGTTATAAGTATCTTATATATAAAGCTGAATGTCTGTTTGTATGTCTGTATGTCTGTATGTACGTATGTTCCGAATAGAAAATTCCATTTCTGAACCGATCGGGACCAAACTTGGCACACATACACTTCGGGCCCCGGCGGGTGTCATAGGCTACTTTTCGTATCGATCGATATCGATTTTATCGATTTTTTGCAAAATTTGAGCTACGGGGCTGGGAGTTGGCACAGGGGGGTAAGTGAGCATGGGGATTCCGAATACAATATTAGTTTTTAAAATCGTGCATTACTTTTATCGATTTTATCGATTTTTTTGTAAAGTTTGAGCTACGAGGATGGGGTTTGGCACAGGGGGGGGGGGGTAATCGAGCATGCTGATCACCCCCAAGGGGGGTGACCAGCATGCTCGATTACACTCCCCTGCCAAATTCCAGCCCCCTAGCTCAAATTTTGCAAAAAAATCGATAAAATCGATAAAAGTAATGCACAGCTTCGAAAACTAATATTGTATTCGTAATCAGCATGCTCGATTACCCCCTGTGCCAAATCCCAGCCCCGTAGCTCAAACTTTGCAAAAAAATCGATAAAATCGACATCAATCGATAACGAAAAGTGGACTGTGACACCCGCCGGGGCCCGAAGTGTATGTGTGCCAAGTTTGGTTCGGATCGGTTGAGAAATGGAATTTTCTATTCGGAACATACGGCGGAGCCGGGTATGCCAGCTAGTAATAAATAATATCAAGGAGCAACTCTGCCAGCCGCTGTCTTTGACGGTCTCTCGTACCTGTGATTCGCCACAAGTTCAGTAATTACAGATTGCACTATCGGTACCATCAAGGCTGCTGTGGCTGTGTTGGATATCCACATGCTGTAAATATACCAGTTTTTTTTATCACCAAGTTTATTATTTGCCTACATACATACCTCAGAAATCCCGTAACTCCCATAAAACCAGCCATTATCCTAAATTTAAAAAAATCATGTTGATGGTTCGTTACATTAAAAACGCCTACCATTTTGGACGTGATCCAACTACTCGTAGAACGAATAAAGCTATTCGGGTATGTAGATCCGATTTTTCAACAGCTACAGCAACCATCAAACCCCCAATAAAGAGAAACGAGGTGTCCTAGCAAGAAATCATTTAATAAATAAGAAATGCTTAATTCTCACTTACTGGTAGGTAAGCTTGAGCAACTTCGTCACTTTTCATTATTTCAAAGAACGGAAAGGCCACCATAGGTATTAGAGCTGTGATGGCCAGCGGCAAAACCTAAACTACCATTTATTTATTGGCTACTGCGGAGACAAACGGTATACCTCGAACATCCAATACAAACCCATTATAGAAACCACGTAACCGCATTGCGCTTGTTTCTGAAACATTTCGAAACTAGCAAATTCGTACTGCATAAAAAGGCATCAACTGGAATTTCGTCCTGAACGTTCCCACCTGATGTTCCGGGAAACAGAAGAGGAGTGGTAGGCTGAACAGAGGTGCACCGCATACTACTATTGATGATCTATAGTCCTCCAAAAATCGTAGTATACCCCTGAAAAGTGTGCAATGGGACTGCTCGGAATTACCAGCAGAGAATATTGAAACCACTCGCTCGGGCCATACTGATTTCATTGATCAAAAGTAAAATATACAGAAAGCACTCTTCGAACACTGCCCTAGTTTTTCAATCAGCCAAATTTTTTGTGTCCGATTAAAAAGGCTTCTTCCAACTCTTTTTAGAGTTGCTTATTCCATGCATTATCATTTTGGCATATTTATTGATTTGTGAGCTAGCATCCCGGGTTCCACCTCTGCTCGTTATTGATTTATTACAACTGGGATGAGTAAACTGAGATTAAAGTTGCAACCAAATTCAAGGCCGTGGAATAAGTTAATATTTCAAACGGTTAAGTCAGCAGATCTCAAAATCCTTTGACAACAATCTTTTTTTTTGTCTGTTCGAAGCAAAAACGGTATGGCGTGGGGGCAGCTCATTCAGTATAAGTCACTTTTTGGCTTTTCCTGCAAGAAGTATTAGGTTGGAAAGGAAGTTCTCGGACACTGCCTTTAGACAAAGCTTTTGTTTCAATGTAAGCACTAATTGGAGCGTGCTGCACACCACTGGATAGAGGAAAGCAATCTCTATAAAACTATGGTAAGCTCAAGCTTTATCAATATTCTCAGTGAAAATTCAAACGAAAAATTCTGAAGCATAGGTTTTTGCCCTAACCCAGATCTCATACTTCTGTAAACTTTATGACCCCCCCCCCCTCCCCCATGCTTCAGCATAGTATACGCATACTTACACTACATGCACAGTTCGGATGGAATTTAAGCTCGAACAACAAGAAAAACGAGATAATTGAGAAGTCGCAAACTCCGCTCTCATTTATCCCAGGCTCCTCCAACTTGCTTAGGTTTCAGCTACATGCAAGTGAAAGTACAGCTGCAAATTTTTGCGCATGTGAATGCATTAGATTTCGAGATAGAACAGAACTGATTTCAGAGTGCCCGAGAACTTTCTTTCCAACTCAATATATAGCTTGAGAAATATTAGGTCGTTCCGAAAGTAATGTCGCTTTTTTCAAGTGAACGCTACATTTCGTGGAAGCAAAGTTTCTAGGAGGTCTTGATAGCATTCGATGCATCATTTCATCCTCTTTCTAATGGCTATAACTTCACTGCAGACTACTCAATGAGCTTTTGCCAAATTACTAAAACCTCCAACCCATGCTTTTTGGACAGGTCAAGTTTCACAATTTTTCTAACCTTTTGTAATTACTCCCGGAAGGAGTCCAAGTAATGGATGGATAGAGGCAAACCCTATAGGAAACGCCATATTTTTCTGCTTTCCGTATCTCTTCATAATTTTTGTAGAGATTTTTCAATGAAGTCACCGAATTTTTGCAGGCTTGTCTCCAACACATATGCATCGACCACCAATAAACTTTCGGATTCCGAAACTTACAAAGGTGGATTATGGTTTAACACTAATTTTACAAAGTATATGAGCATTTATCGCTTCAGATTAGCAACTTCCGGAAATTTCGGGTACAGCCTGGGGCGCCCTGGAAAACCTGTATTATAATGATTCTTTCCCGGCAGACTTTATGAATCGGAAACCAAAAACAACTGGTAAAAAGAGGAGAAAAAGCTGCGTCGAATGACACCCAAGTTGCTTGCCGGTTGTTGTTCTGTGAGGTTTGAGTTGACCAAATATGGAATTTGATAGCGCTGAAAAATTGATTCTACAAACTCTAAGAAGCAAGCTAAGGAAAAGAAAAAAATTGTTTGTGGCCTATAGGTTGCTCTATTTATCTGTTATTTGTACATCTTCGGGGAATCAGTACAAAAATATAGAAAAATAGCCGAACTTGACCATGACAAAAAGCATGAATCGCAGCTTTTAATAATTTTTTGAGAGCTCGTTGAATATTATGCAATGAAATTACAACCTTTAGAAAGAGGACGAAATGCTGCATCGACCGATCCCAAGAGCTCTTGAAAATCTTGGTTCCACGAAATGTGGCGTTTATTTGAAAAATGTGACATTACTTTCGGAACGACCTAATAGGATAAATCAGATGGAAGGCTCATGACTAGGTTGAAAGTTCGTTCATTCAGTGCTAAAAATACACTCGAATTCTTCTTTTTATGTGCACATTCATTTTTGCATTTGCATATTCCTGGGAGACTTTTATTTTTCAAAACAAGTATCGACCACACAGCCTAAAATGTGCTGGAGTTTATGGAGTGGGTTAAATTTTAATAAGATATAATTACGTAATATTTTCTGCCAACATAAGGTGACTGAAAGCATGCAGAAATTTCTTCGTGGTTCAGTATTAGTGGCACAAGATTAACTTATATATCCATCAACAAACTTACGTGCACGTTTATACAAAATTTACGTGCATAGTCTAAGCACTATAAAAATCGTAGTTTCTGGAAGGATAGGTATTTCGGAAATAAGTAAGGAGCGTTTGAAAATTGCGATGGGTAGTTTTGATTCCATGCGCGATGCACAATTTTTTTTCACATTTCCAAAGGATATCAGATGCAAATGAATTGTTAAGCAGGGTTTTATGTGAACTTGCCGCTCCCAGTTTGCACATCAGCTTTGTGTGTCTTCAAATTTTTTTCTAGTATTGAAATGTTTTCCCAAGCTTATTCCATTCCTAGTTTAGAGTTTGTAGAAATGCTTAGTAGGTACAACATATTTTATCTACTCAGTCTCATAATCATCCATTGGGTGCCATCACTACAAAAGTACGTCTCAGTCACAACTGCGTACACGCATAACTTTTGGTTTGGTAAAGAAAAGTTAAAAACTAATAAATTATCCAATCACAACACTGACTGTCACAATACACAAATAAGTAGCTTGATGATGTGTTCTGAAACCAACCTGTTCCTACCCATGATTTAGATGTCTGCAAGAGGAGACGGCCTAGTTTGTAGTCTTTATCTCATTCGTGTAATTCACTTATGATATAGATGGTGTAGCTGAAGAGTTGCGGAGGCTGATATTTGCGGAATGCTGTAATGATGAAGCAAAATGAAAAGGCTTTGAATACAAGATGAAGCAGTTATCATGAACTATGGCAACGAAATAGGAACTGATTTTGTAGTGAACTGTACGAGTTAGGGCTTTTTGCTTAGATGTGGCTTTTGAATAAAAAACGCCGAACAGCCTTATTGCTGACCTATTAATGAAAACGGCAAGCTACAAATTCAGAAGCAGTTTAGACATCAGGGACTCAAAAGTTCACAAGCTTTTAATAGGTTGGTATCAGTAAGTCAATACGTCTCAATCTCTCGAGCAGAGCGAATGCCAAAGTACGCGAGCTATCATGCTGAAAACAAGTTTTGCGTAGATTCTCTTCTCATATAGAAAAGATACAGAGTAAGTCACAATAAAAAGCAACAAGCATTATCAAATTTCTTAGCTAGTGGCTCTTCAATAGTATTGCAATTCTTGAGTTGCATCCACAGGTTTTAGCTTGAAGTTCTAGAGCTTAGAAGCAGTAACAGAAAAAACACTGTAGGAAAGGCATGCCTAATAATCGTATGATGATGATGCTATCCAAATCAGTCGCTCCGGTTACAATGTAGCGGTAATTAATCATGAGCGATGAGACATCAAGGTTCTTGGCGATCAACGCGTTTCTGCAGTCTATACTACAAAGCGTGCCAAAAACTCTACAACATAAGCAAGTTGGAAGAGTTTTTGAGACAAAAAATTTTAAAGTGACCTATCTAGAGGAACTTCGACACAACTCTTTGACCTGCATCCAGGTGTTGATCGAGGAATGGAGAATCCACCCAATGAACCTATTACAAAGGAGGATTACCCATACAAGTGATTTTGGCAAGATGATGGAGAGTGCAGCATTTACGGTAATTTCTGCAGGTCTCATCAATCACGAGCGCGCTCCACACTCCTTCTCCATGATACGCCTTGAGAAGACCACCGTAGTTCACAACGGCGTGTAGTATAACTACCATTTTGTTATGAGCAATCCAAATCTATCAGGATGAAGAAAAAGTTATGTCGCAACATTCTAAAATATTCTTAGCTTTTTGTCTTCTAAACGGATTTCTGCGCTTATATGAAGGAGTGAATCATGCGCTCCAAAAGATCTTCTATCGTGCACTCTATTCCGCACGATTCTCATAGATGAAAGCGGTAAATCATTCAAATCTTGATATTAAGAAGTTTGATAATGAAGAAATCTTTGAACTTGGAATAAAAATAGGAGTAGTCGGTATCACAAGTATGTCACCCATTATTTTGACTGAACAAACTTTGTGCTGATTGAAAGTCTCTATGAAATATTATGTTATGATTTTCGATTCAAAGGTGCTTGACGTAATCTCAGAATTCCTTATAGTGTGTTATTGCTATAAAACAGTTTGTCCGATCATGCCCAATGATAATGACAACGAGCAAGACTTGAAAGGTTAGATACCATTGCCATTAATACTAAAAGCTTATATTTAGCGACGCAAAAATATGAAAAATATGGACTGGGTAATTTGGATCCGATATCCTCTCTTACTCCAAATTTGAATTTCTTATAAAATGCTCTCGATATTCACAAGCAAAACGGAAGCAGGTTTTGGAACTTCAGCATTTTCTCTCTCTTCTCACCTTTACCTTCGCAAAGCACCAGTATATTCTTCCACGTGCGCAAATTTTTCATAGATTCCGTAATTTTTCATAGGTACCTTTTATGATGGCCGTAGTGACAATTTTTGCCTCAAGTTTTATATTAGGTTGTCCCATAATAATTTACCGTTTTTACTATAACCGTCGTCTCTTTGTAGTTTCCGTTCAACTGATGTGGCTTGAGTAATCATTTGATAGGGCAAAGAGCTCTCTAAGATGGCTATGAAGTCGCCCAAATCGTATTTCACCGGAAGTTTTGAGCAGAAATCTGATAGCAGTCAAAAACGATTTTCCTTCAAAAATGGTATCTCTGCCCCAAAATGTCTTAAAAATTCCCCATTTATCCTTGCGTATGCTTGACACATCGCACATTCAATTATACTATTCCCCTATTTTTCCCATGGCTAGAAATAAAGAAAAAAATGAATGGAGCAAAGTGGCAAACTCTGCCCCTAGAAGTCCTGAGCTTCTCCCATGCACGTGATCATATAGCTCTGCATACACAAGTACGATCATGCATTTGTAAACTTTGAAGGTGGCACAGTTCTCGAGAAATGCTGATGTTCAGGGTAAAAACGGTAAAAAATTATGGGACACCCTTATACAAATGGTTTTCTTTTCACAGCATTCATTTACAAAGGATGATTTTATAGAAACTTGCAGCACTTGTCACAGTGCTCTACCGGCATACCACGGACGGAATCATTGATGTACTCCTTTGCATATCGTCCCTTTTACGATTTCTGGAAAGACGCGGGTGCCACCGGAAGTATTAAACCCTGCAGAAAGAGGGATTGGAACTACTCAAAACAACCGGGGCTTCATTTGATGGTATCTAAACTGCGCTTCCAGCGTCCAGCTGTGTACAAAAATCTCGAAAAATTCCGAGTTCCTTCCCATTCACCACGTTAACATGTAAAAAGGTAGGATCCTCCAAAGAAAGGCCGCTTGGGTTCTATGGATGGGCGAAAAGACCTATTTAAATAACAAGTTGTACTGCAGAAGCATGAGTGCGAAGGGGGGAGGGAGGGGGGGGGGGGAGACCTTAGCAGGTAACGTAGCTGAGTAGTACTGACGACGTAGAGATGCGGTTATGGGGCCTCTAATAAAATGAACGAAACGTGTAACAAAGAATGTATCTGTCAACAATCCTGCCTGAAATCAAGGACGATGTACCATGAAAAGTCTTGAAAAAATTTGAGGAAGGCATGTTGTTGACAGCTGTTTATTTCAAATGATTGATTTGTACTCCGAGCTTCTTTGACACTTTTGAAATAGAGACTTTTCGAGGATGCTTGAGCCGACACTTTACTGCGCGTAAGGGTTTAGCTCTATGTAATAGGGTATGAGAGTCGTAAAAACCACTGCAAAAAGTAATTCATGATAGCTCAAGCCGTTGTGTAATTTTGAGATAAGCGCAACCCCAGAATTCCATATTTTGACTTTTACATCATATAAGCCTGAAATACACATCTGCTATTGCAGCGGTATTTTCAAAGACTGCTCAAGCCCTCCAGCCAAAACTCTTCTCTTGAAACAGTTCTGTCTTTCATCAAAACTCAACTCATCTCAAATGTCACACACAAAATTCGGATTACCCAGAGCAGCGATTCAAAATTTCTGAGTATGTACAATATCCAATCAGTGCGTGTTTCATGGCACTAGCCTAATCTATTGCTAGAAGATGACCATGATGCTCATTAGTAAGGAGAGTAGGGATAAGAGATAAAAACAAGCTGACCTAGCAGCGTTGGCAAGTGGTATGTAGAGATGCAAACAGCGAGAAGTAGCATGTGTTTCAAGCTTTCATGACGACGGAACAACAAGAAGAAAGCCATGGCCATCTGAACCACAGCTATCAAATGTGAAGAATAAATCATGAGTTTCTGAGCATTGCGCTCAGCAGACAATGCGTTTCCATAAACATCTGATCGAGACAACGGTGCCCTTTGACCGGGACTCATACAAAAAAAGTCTCACCAGACGTTGTTTTCGCGCAGATGCCGAGTTTTTTTTTTGGTGGAAGGCAGTAGATGCTTTGTCAGTACAGACGCGTTCAGAAAAAACAACTGTGGTAGGAGTTTCAACATGAATACTCACAATTTATATCGTTTACCTTACCATTTATTTGCAACTGACAAGGGAAGCTACCTAACTTAGCTCGGCCTTTTGGCAGGGGACCTATATGTTCTGAATCAGCTTCAAAAGCTGATTCCAAATATGCAATTCCTAGCTGCCGCACACCATTCCGAAGCGAGTTACGGGTTTTTTTCTGAACAAAATTGCATCCTCATTGACCCACTGGTATCACGGTATCATCACTCAAGGTGCTAATACACTTGCGTTGAGCTTCTTTTTGGTAAGAAAAGATTGTATTTGTGTTATTTCGATATCTCAGCACCTTTTTCTTGCAGATTTCTATCTACAGGCGGTCTTCCCATGCTCAGTAGTATGCTAATTTTGCGCAGGAAAAAGCCCATAACTTGCTTCGGAATGGTGCTCGGAAACTAGGAATGGCATTTTTGGAATCAGCGCTTGAAACTGATTCAGAAAATATATGTCATTCAACAAAAGGCCGAGCTAAGTTAGGTAGCATTCCTTCTGAGATGAATAGGTTGTACGCATCCATCAAAGAGTTAGGATCTAATCTATACAAAATTCGCCTTAAATCTCGTAGCGAAACCGAGTGTCAGTCAGTCTCGACAGTATGGCTTACAAAAAACGAAGGAACTCAGATTTTAGACATCATAGATAGTACGAGGAAAATTGCCCACGATCCCGTTAGAGTTCACTACATCATGTTTGAGAGGAGTTAATATCTAACCGGTGACAAGAAGTCTTTCACAGTAGCCATTATTCGCCCTGTTCCGTTGAAGGTGGTGCAACATGCGAGTCGATAAGAAGTTCTTCTGTTTAAGCTAGGGATGTTAGTTTTAGTCATTAATCGTCTAATTAAAATAATATTTAACAAGTCATTTCTCCATGAGAGTTTCCTATATTTATTCTAAAAGGTGCTTACAAAAATTGAAATGAGTGGGAAACCACTACACCACAGCGTGGTGTAGTGGTTTCCCACTCATTTCAATCTGTTCCGTCGGTGTTGGCGTTTCGATCGTATTTCCCTTGCGCGGCTAAAGTCGACGCAAAAACCTTCATAACTTCTCCCATAAAGACGATTAGCAGAAGCGAAGTCAGATTACATTTCATCTCAGAAGGCCACCTAGTATCGTTTCCTTGTAAGACTGGTACTGTTGTTGACGCTGTTAGCAGGGTTTTCGCCATTTGCGGATCACGAAAGGTGTAGGGTCTAGATCTTTGAGTTAAAGCGCTCTAGAAAATTTTCTTGCTTGGAAAAACTCTTGTACATCCATCATGCTTCATTCCCTGTCAACCTTGTGCTTCACTATAAAAGTCTGAGAATTTGCTTGCTTTCCAAACAATAAATTTCAGATCTTCGCCTCTCAAACGAAGTTTTCGCAATTTCTTCTGATAAACATAGCGTGAAAGCAATGGCAGTGATTTGAGGGAGTCGATTATCAATTATTCTTTAATCGTTCATTTTCGTGGGATAAAGACTTTACGTCCAGATAAGCCTAAAAAGCACAGGCAGGATGTTGAAGAACGCACTTTGTGATCTAATGTCTTACTGAGGATATTGGTAAGTTCTACAATCCGCTGCGATGAGTTGTAAGGGTGTGCCAAAATGCGGCAATCAAATCTCAGACAATTTCAAACGTATTTCTCTAGAAAATCTGGATTCTTCACTAGACGTCAGTCGTACTCAAAAACACAAGTCTTTGAAATCTTAGTAATCACAGCGTTTCTGTAGCTTCCCATCCAGTATCGGTACTGCTATTTGCACAAGTGTATCAGCGTTGAAAATGACTCCTTTTGTGCACTATCTTACTACACTTGAAACGTCATATAATACCGCTCATAGTTTTGGCAAAAAATAAAGACGCGACTGTCACCTGAGTAAAGTGGCATCGGTAGCGTGGCCATATCTCGCTTCAGAAAGGGGGAGTCTGGATCTAGGGGAAACATTCAATTCACCTCGATAAGGCGCATTTCCTAATATATAGAAGCACCTGCTTCAATACGGTATGTGCAAAGTAAGCAGCCACATTTCACGAAGGAATGCAGTTTTCGCTTACGGTAGATTGCTCAGTGTGCAGTGATTAAGCAGTCAAGTAACCTACCGATTTGGAAAGATTTGCGAAATTTGGCTGCCTAACCCTGCATATACCGTATCCAGGTACCCCTATATATCAGAAGGTGCACCTCATCGATCTGACTGGAATGGTGCACTTGGAATTCAGATTTCGTCCACTTTCATGTGAGGTATGGCTACGCTACGGTAATGTCACCTAACTCAGGTGACCGTCGCGTCTTTTTTTGCAAAGATTATGAGCGGTATTGTATGGTTGTGATGTGAACAAAATTAGTATATCAAAGGGCGGATAAAGCTGCAATACATTGCACTCAGAAAAACTTCCTTTATTTTTTTGTTGTAACAAAATGCATCGTTAAGTGAATGAATGTATAGATCGTATGAGCAGATTTTCGCAGTAATGCACAAATGAGATGATATGTAAATCAGGAAAGATTCAGGAAAGACACATCGAATCAAAAAATACAGTGGCAAGCGGAAGAGGAACAAGACGAAACCAGCACAATTTACAATAAAGCTAAATGTCTCATAGATTATATGCCTAGGCTATTCTACATATATGATAAATTATGAGAAGCCGCAAAGTGTTAACGATCAACCGGGGCCGGTAGATAGCAGCACGCTTTCATGAAGACACCATAATTACAACATTATTCAAACAAAACGAATAAGTGACTATAATATTTGATTGCGAGGATGTAAAGTGAAGTAACAACACTTCAAATAAGATATGGATGAAGTAAGATATGACCACGAACAAACATGAAAATGAGCAACCAATGTAAGTTCAAGAAGTTCTAGCCTAATGCAACTCGGACGACTTTGGTATCCGAAAGAAACCGACAGGAAATATAGAGAGAAATACCGGTATGAAGAATAGGCCATGAACGGCCCCTATGACCATCGTAAGCCATATTGTTTTGAAGAATACTAGTATGATGTACGCATCTACTGTGTACAATATTGTTATTCCTGCTATCGTTGAAGAAGCACCCTAAATCATGTAGCTTTATATATGAGACAAATAGAGTTCTGCTGCTTGTTATCTACTTTTGTATATGATACAGACCACAGTATCTTAAATGTCTGCTTTCGCATCAGCATGAAATCAGGATGGGGGGGGGGGAGGAATTCTGCGATCTTATTTGCTTAGACGCGCTATATCCCCCGATGGGGAAAATAATGTGATGAAGGGAGCGAAAAAATTTGTCTATACGGGGTTACTTGCACCACAGCGGGTCAGCTCCACCTAAGGTCGACTGAGGTCAAAGGGTCCTACAACGACTGCGCGTCCGTGACCTCGGTGGGCTCCGCTTCTGCTCGTCCCTAAATAGAAGACTTCAGGAAAAGCCTTTCCTTTCCATGCTTTCCGATTTTGGCAACGAATTAATCCACTTAAGCATAAAAATGTAAAGCTCTTACACCCCTTCAAGCAAACCTAGGAGCTTGCATGGGCTTTGCTCACACTAAAGTAACTAAAATTTGTAGTCTAGTCATGAAGCTGTACCCTAAACTTACAGACACCTCTTCACATCCTCTCATAATGAAGTAAAAAATTTTCTGATACCTGGAATATTGGCCATCCTAGCGCTTCAAGTGCGCCAATGACTCGCTGGTTAGTATCACCATGTGAGGTTACGAAGGCGTATACTATATGTCCAGAAAGATCCACAGCGAAACCAATACTCATTATGATCGAAATCATCGAAACAGCATCGAGGTTCACTCCCCATAATGTCATGTAACCAAAAACACCAAGATTGATCGAGACAATCGAGAGGAAGATTATGAAACCTGAAATGATACACTGCATAACCACCCATTTACTTAACAATAATGCCCCAAGAAATTGCACTCCCTCTCCCCCTCCCCCCCCCCCCCCCACCTTTGAACAAAAGTTATCGCGCTGCTATGTTACATGGGTCATAAATGTATACACTCCCTAGCTAACAATTCCCCCCCCCCCCCTCCCCACCCTCTTTTATTCTACTTTCTCAATCTCTGTAGAAGCGAAAGCGATCATCATGACCTTACTTTAACGATCCTTCTCTGCAAAATCAACGATCAGCTGCGCGGGAATTCAAAATTTTGTCCCAAAACGAAGAAAAGGCTTGTTTACGAAGGAATAATCGTGAACGCCAAATTTAGTGCGTGGATGCGCATTGGGAGTTCCAGTTATGTATGAGAGACTATGAGAAAATCATATCATAATTCTCTCCTTTCCTCACATAATTATTTTGACTTTCTACACAACTTTTACGCCTACTCCTCGCTTAATTATGCGCAAAAATCGTGACTCCTGACCCGTATGACTTACTAGGGAATGGTCAGAAGTCGAAGTGGCCAAACCAAACAAGCTGTATACCTTTCGATGCAGTATAAAACGCTGACTTCGAATCTGTCTTTCTTATCTGCTCCCGCTTCTGGGGACGAAGCTACAAGCCATTGAAGACCTTTATTTTGCTAAGAAATTACGCGTGAAAGATAATTTAGCCGTGCAGAGCCACGTTCGCCTCAACGCTGGACCAAAACATGCGTCTAGCCTACTTCAAATTTTTAAAGAAAGAAGCTGAGCTAAACGTGCAACATTGTGCTCAATTTCGCTGTATTCATGTGTGATTTTTTCACAATAAAACCGCTTGTAGCTTCATCCACAGAAGCGGGAAGCAGATAAGGAAGACAGATTCGAAGTCAGCGTTTTATACTGCATCGAATGGTATACAGCTTGTTTGGTTTGGCCACTTCAACTGCTGACCATTCCCTTGTTGGTTACAGCCGTCCAAAAATTTTGAATGGTGTAAGCCTCTCCCTCCCCCCGCCATAGATTACGAACACCATAGTGTTCATTGTCTGTTTAAGGATCTTTTTATATTCTTTTGTAATCTTCGTTCTTATTCATGTTTTCTATTGTAGCGCCTTATAAGGGATGTCGCAATTTTTGTTGCGACGTCAAATGGAGCTTTGTTTAAACCGCTAGGATCACCTCGTGCCGAGTTGATGATACTGCGAGCATAATCTCACCATGCCATTGCCTGTGCTATAATTTTTGTTGCTAAGATTTTTGAGATGTGAAACACATCGGCTTTGCTAGCTCTTCTTTTCATAAAATGATGGTATTTAATTCTATATGTCATACGGGAAACATGAAGACGTTACTCAAATCAGACCACTTTGACATTCACTCAATCATATGATGATTCTTGCAAGAACTCACCCGAAGGCAAACTTGGAACCATTAACAGCGAAACCACTGTCATGCAGAGTAACGATATGACCACATTGAAAATCATAGCGGGTAAAATAATGAGGTACTGGTCAGCGAATGGGAAAGCCTGAAAGAAAGAGCTGCATGTTCGGTTGTTTTCGCATTGAGCACAGATATGTCACCTCGTAGAAAACTTCTACATGGAACGGCTGTGAATCAGCAATTTCTCGCATTAGTTTTGCTGCCAGCTTATGTTGATTTGGTTCCACGATGTTCTTCATGGCAATCTTAATTTGGAATTTAGAAGATTGTTAGGAATGGCAAAGTTTTAAAAAGTCATACATAGAAACGAAAGGCCTCTATAGCATTAGTAGTTTCGTTGAATTTGATATCACTGGCCCACTGCGATGAACCTCCAGTGTACTTCAGCCAGGACCTAGACAGAAACGATAAGTTCATGCATGAGTGGAAAACATAATTTTAAGGGCTCAGAAATGTTTACCTCAGCTTGTAATGCCAAAGTTTCGCCGTATCCTCCAACTCCACATTTAGTTGGTCAAGATAGTTAAGATATTCGAGCAGAAAAAACACGGTACCCTCCCTACCAAGAGAGTACTCGGTGTTTTCAAATGCTGCAGCGGTAGACAGCAATTGACTCCTTCAAATATGGATGAATGATTTGAAGAAACTCGACTGGACACTGAAGCTACCTCGTTTTTGAGCTGATAAGATCGGGAGGGTTGAGAATAGCGACGTGAAGCTGGGGTCCCGACTTCCAAAATGACTTTATGTCCTCGAAGTACTGCGAGATGTAGTGGTCCTTCGTCACAAGGTTACCGGGATTCAAGCCTTCTCGAAAATTTACGCAGCCTGCAATGATTTGACTGATTTCGAGTTAACATTGGCTATAGTTACTCACCATAGTAAGCGCCAGAGATGTAAACAAGAAACAGCAGTCCAGCTATGGCTCGTACGGGATTCGTGAGTATAAATGGTCCGTACGTTTCTCCTAGCCACTTCACGATTCCACTTGGTTCCTAAAACTTTCTCATGAAATCTTGTCACGCATAGCAGCGCATAATCGCTAACCTTGTCATGTCCAGTTTGCACCACATGCTGGTAAGCCGGTGGAGGGGTAGCTGGAACTGAACAAGGCGACTTATTTATAGCCAGTTTAAACAGCAACATATTCTTTTGCTCATGATTAGCAGAAAAATCTACATTTTCATACCCTTGCGAATCTCGCGTTTCGTTAGATGAAGCGCTTATATGCATTGAAAATAGTTATGTAACGTCTATGTCTCAAGAACAATCTCGACAAAAACATCTTCAATGATTTTTCGAAGATATCGCCCCTTTACCAATTTCCCCTATTTCGATCTATCTGAATTCTAAATTCTAGAGTGTAGGAGCAGAGCAGGTAGCAAAGAGCTAGAGCTAACCTTGCACTATATCGTACCCTTCAAACACTTTTGATCTACCACTGAAACAGTATAATAAATTTCCGAAAAAGTGGCAGTCCAAAAGTGAGACGTTCCCTAATCAAAGCCCAAAATTTTGAAAATGATGTATTTGTGTGCCTATTTTGCTTATCTTTTTTACTTGGTGTTGAACGCGGTAATTGCGACAACTGAAGTTGCGATGGTTTTTTTATGATTTAGCTCATTCCATGAAATAGCTCAACTAGCTATAATGAAAACGAACCATGTGTTTTGCCACTTTCGGATGAGAGTGATCTGCCCGAGTAGAATGAAGTGTCAGGTGAACTCTCCGAATACGTCTTGTGAATATTCGAACTAAAACAAGTCGGAGCTAGGATGGAACCTTTGGGTATTTGGTGGTATGCATGCTCACCTTTTCGTCCGCTGAAATTTTCGAAAGTTGGCTGGAAAGACGGTTTCTTCTTTATGCGACTTGTTGAGCTCCGCAATACTGATCGATCCTACGGTCTTGTAGAAGAACAAACAATGCCGCTTTTGCCGCTCAAGATCTCCAGAGATCGCCATAAACCCACAGAAGTACGTGATCTGAAAATTCTGTTCAGGCCAAACGAAGTGAAGCTGAGAAAATGACTTGCCTGGAACAGGTAGCAGTATGCTACTGATACGCATGCATATAGGCAAAATAACTGGATTCCGGGAAGATCAGTGATGCATCCTAAAATGTAAACAAGATATGAAGTGCAAGGCATTATCTGCTAAATAACAGCAATCCTTATAACATTAGTAACGCGTAATGAAGTGTACAACAGCGTAAATTACAAGGACGGAACATAGTCTGTTCAGGTGTTCCCGAAAACACAAAAACGTTTTCATATTTTCGCTTATAAAAACATATCTCCGCTTCGCAACTCTCGCGTTGCGGAGCGATGCAGACGCATCTGTATGGTAATACGTATGACAGGACTCATGTCTAAATCTCCTCATTTTCCTCAATTTCTAGCTGGCAATGGCAACCATTTGCACATGTGGTGCATACCTCTAGCAAGAGTAAGCACAGTTTCTGATCAAATTGGCATATTGTCAGTTGAAACAGATTTCATACAAAAATCCAAAACATGATGTGATACAAAGCCATCTTTGGATGGATGCTTTTGAGTTGCAGTTCGTTGAGAAAGGATTTTAGAAAGGTTTTGCTGAACTGCTGTTTTATCTTTTTTGATAACGGATCGCACATAAATTACATGCAGCTCTTCCACGGCCACGCAAAGTCAAAGACAGCGTTTGAGCAGCTACGAAGATAACGAGGAAAAACAGTAAGAGTCGTAGATTTTGCCCAGACTTGGTCCAGAGGAGTTATTCTACATGCTGATCAGGAATATCAAACTTCTACCGCCCGAGCACCCCTACCCGTGTGGTTACGGTAGGTATACGGTAGAAGGTAAAAATCATAAATTTGTGCGGAATTTGGTCTAGAGGTCTAGAGGTGTTATTCGATGCATTAATCATGAAGGTGTACTTATTCAGTATAGCAGAGTCTTTTCAGGGAGTCACGGTAGGTATACGGTACGTGGTTAAACCAATTCGTCCTAAATTTCGTTTAGAAGAGTTATTTGCTGAGCATGAACATCATATTAATTTCACAAGAAAGCGTCATCTTTTTGGGTTGCAGTGGGTGTACGGTAGATGAGTGAATTTCTAAATTTGCTCAAAACTTCATCTAGAAGGGTTTCTAAACATGTTGGTTACGAAAATCATGCTTGCTCCCTGCAAAAACGTCTTATGTGAAGTCACGGTGATTTGCAGCGCATGAATCCTTCTAAAAAAATAATATATATAATTTTCGGGCCAATTTAGACCTCAAAGATTTACGAAAAGGCATTATCACGCGTAATAAGCACTATATTCGTGATCAGCACGTCAAATAACCCCCTGCACCAAGCTTCGGGCATGTGATTTTCACCCCCTACCAAATACCTACAATAGTCGCGAAAAGCTCCCAAAACCGGCGGGTCGAAGAACTCCTCCAGACCGAATTCCATCCAAATGTAGAATTTTTTCCTCTACCTACGTATTCTACCGTAACTTCATGAAAGGGTCCCAAAATGCAGAAAGTGTATGATATTCGTGATCAACATGTCGAATAACCCCCTGGGCCAAGTTTCAGCGAAATCCATGATTTGGGCACCTTACCATGTACCCCATATACCCACCGTAACCCTAGAAAATGGCACCACTACAAATCAATATGATATTCAGCATCAGCAGATCAAATAACCCTTCCAGACAGAGTCTGAGCTGAACCCACGACTTTCAAATCTTGGGGCGCGCATCAGCTCATGAACGTAGAAAATTTCACTTCACAGACACAGATAGGAGAGACCACCTTACCTATGGCGAAGGACATGATATCAGTGACGTTCGTGATCGTAACTGCAACTCCTGCGTGAGACAAGGTTTGCGCCATTCGCACGGGTACCGGCTGTCGCTCATCGGATTGTTCCCAACATGCGCTCATAATGAACATATCATCGATTCCAATAGCTGAATAACTGCATTTACTTTTTGTGAGAACTGATCAAAGGAAAGGAAAAGTTTGTGGTCCTGGAGTTTTTCTTACAACTTAGTATAACGATGGTAGATGAAGATGAAAGAAAGATGAAGATGACTGAAATCTACAGGGTGTAGTCCCAAAGTCTCTACGCCTAGTGCTTTCTTCCTTAAAAAAAGATAGGAAGTACGTGGAGACAAAACATTTGGTGCACACATCAAACAAACGGGAACGACCATAGTGTAGCACTGAAATTTCCAGATAGCTTTTTTTAGCGTTTACGCAGGCCTCCAAAATTTTGGCGAATGCACCTGTCATGGAGCGCATATAGTAGTTGTAATGAAGTTCGCCCATGCCTACAGGAAAATTGTGTTTTTCTTAGAAAATCAGCATGATAGAGCAAGGTTTCGGCTACCAAGAAGAAATTTTTTTGCAAGATCAGAAATAAGAATATTGGAATCTGCAGGCATAAGAAAAATTTGATACACTTGGACGAAGGAAAAACGGAAAATATGACCTCAAATTACTCTGGAGATATACTTCGTCAGCCGAATTGAGCCGTATTAAACTTTCGAATGAAACATTCTCATCGATATGACTTCTGGAAAACAGACTGCTCAAGATTCAGTGTCTGCTACGCATTCGAGGCTTTAGAATTAATTTGAAAAACCAAAGGCCAGTGGTACAGGTTACATTCGTGAGTTCTTATTTGTGACCCTGAGGAAACATGTAGCCTTTGGCAAACGCAAGAACCACGCTTTAATACTGCAACGCCTACTCTACATTGTGCGCATTGCCTTCAAAACTGTATTTTGTAGAGGTCATTTCAGCATCACGTGTCATAAATCCGAAATCAAATTTACTAGTACAGTTCCAGCGCTACAAAGTTGGCTCAAGGACTTTTGGAACACCCTGTAGAATACTGCTTCAGCCAAAAAATTGATTGCGAACAACATGGTGTTCCTTATTTCAACAGTATCTACTTCCATACTGCACAGTCGTTCAGCTTTCCACTTCCTACCAACGACTAGTGAAAAGGTGCATGTAAATGGTTGATTACCTATAATAAGGAATGGAATGATTGTGTTGATGACATTGTAGCTAACACCCATCAGCATCAAGGTTCCAAAACCGCATACAATAGCCATAAGTGTGGTAGAAAGTCCTGCAAAAGCTACATGAACCCACAACAAAGTTTTCTCCAACTTTTGGTTTTAAGAATGTAAAGTCTGCCATTTCTGTTACCGATTTTGTGAGAATCAGCAGCCGGCGTTATCCTGTTTTGCAACATTCCCCACTTGATCTATCTATCTAATATATAAAGAATCGTAAGCGCAATTCAAAAATGTGCAAATAGCGGGAAACCGCGTGGCGGTCCCGAAGCGCGCGCTTGCTGCTAGCACCTTTAATTACTGGTTCGCTAGTTTTGAGTTGATAACTGAAGCTCGCATTAACGCATTATTTGAAACACTTGCGACCCGAGAGTTTTTCTTTCGGGGCAGAGAGCCGTGAGTGAATGTTTTTATTGTAACGCTGGCAAAATTTTTTGGGATGCTTTACAAACTTTTCGCAGGCTCGTAATCCAAAATCTTTGAAAAGTAGAGGCATGTGGTAACTCTGTTTCGGGGATGTTTTGTACTAAGCTTTTTCATTTACAGTTACATAGAAATAATGTGACTTTTAGTGAAACAAGTCACTTGCACAATTCAACTCATGTAGCATATGTTCAGCATTGGCGACTCTCTTCTCCCTCGATCCGCTACCGGTTAGAAACGGTCCATGAACAAGTAGACTCACCCGCGCATGCCAACCACGGCTTGCTACGAATCCAGTCAATGCCTCGCTGAGGCTTTGACTTGAAACAAAATGCACTGACAAGAGCATATATTGATAATGTCGTGAAGCTGACCACAAAGTTTGGCGTAAAACGCTCAGCATTTTCTCCGAGGCCATCCTAAAAACAAATCGTAATCATTGAAACCGTTTGCGAACTTTGAACGATATGTTCGGTTGAGTTGCACTTCAGTGAGTGAAACGCTCCAACTGTAGCCCGGACTTACTTGAAGCGACTGGTAATGCGCGAAGGAGACCGAAATCAAGTTTGATTTGTAATAATGCAGAAAGAATCTCTCTACAGCATAGGAGAAATCCGAGGAGTAGCGTCGAACGATGGATTGCTCTTGTTTCAGAAAATAAAACAGCTGCGTGATTTTAGCACTCTTCACAGTGTTGTTTTCTCGAAATACTTCAACGTCTCCAAAAATCGTTCCAAGATAGACCGGAGTATCCTGAAAAGTATACATTAGGAGAAAGTATGCTAGGTCAAGTACTTTCAGAATACACAGAAGCAAAGAATACTTTGTTCCCTCCTCGAGGATAGGAGAGGTCAAGAAAGTGGCCAATTCTATTTCTTTCGAGCAGCATTTCTATGTGTTCATTCCCACCGCATACCCAGTCATAGCTGAGACAAAGGTCCTATAATCAGTATCATAGAGTAGACAGATGTAAATAGGATATATCGCTATCACCTGATAAGTCAGATTGAACCGCCCATCATCAGTGGGGACGCTGATGTTATTAGAAATCCACTGGTTTAGAACCTGGATCTCCTTCAGCACTTCCTCCCTCAAGACTGAGCCTCCATCACGAGCTCGGATCAAAACATTCACAAATCTTTTTGTCTCAAACGACTTCCCAGGAAGGAACTTATTCTCATTCAAAGGCCAATTTTCTGAGAAGGATTTGAGTTCCTTACGCCACCTGCAAAAGGTTGTGTGTGTAAATTAATCTCAGTGAAGCCATGTTTGAGTAGTGGATTAATGAAGGATGATAAATCATCATACAGATTCGGGAAACCAGTTTTCGATAAGCGCAAAAAAGTGCTGCGAAGTGGACGAACCGTGCGTCAGATGGTGTGAATACGTAGGCTGGATCGTCGACCCGCAGTGTGGACAACCGCAGAAATCCGAATGAAAGGCCGATTGTAAGTAGAAGTGGAAGAATGAATAAGGGCCACCGGAATCGGTACGCTATAGGTCCCCAGGCTTCGAAGAATCGCCGAATTAGCGGCTCTAATGAGAGCACGCTCATTGATGTGATCTGTAGAAGTTTTTTATTATTCGCAGCAACATATAATCGGAGCAAGTCTCGAAATTAGAGTTCGTGTCGTACAACCAACAGATGGATGTTCTATTGATTTCTCGAAGAAAAAGCATCAAGAATATCGAATGAAAATTTAAACAAGCATTGAGTTAATATAAGCGGAAAGTACTACGGGAAAGATGGATATGTCGAATTGCGTGAATGGGGATTATGTACCATGCCTCGAATGCAAGGAATGAATTTGGCGGAAAGGATAGTCTATCGGATAGACTCCAGGATTCACTTTCGCACAATAAATTCCACTACCAATCTCAGCAAATCCTGAGTACAATTTCGGCTTCGGAGGTTACATAAACTGTTTCGGCATGTCATTTTTTGTGAGATAATAATGCCGTGTTTGCTCACTAGAATTACAGGTTGTTCCGTTGCAATTGTTGCCCGAACACATGATATGCACCTACCCGATCATTTGGTTTGTTCAAATATTGATACCTTATGAGGTTGGGCTGTGAATTTGGTCGGGTTTTGCCATGCGTAATCTGTTTTACTAATATGACATCTAAAGTTCTATCTATAGTCAAAAATCACAGTAGAAAGATGTCTACGAAATTTTGAGAAAGCAGTCACAAGCTACGACATTGCTACGCCAAAAAATTTCGAGATTTCGTTCAACTCAAAGTGTGCCATGAAGTTCTTTTCGAGTCATATTTCAAATCCAACCATCCTTTGAAATTCTTTCTGCAGTTGCACTTAATTAGCAATTAAGAGTGTTTTGAAAGACCAATAGTCGAAATGTCTACCCCGTAAGCAATACCTAAGAATGTGGCATGTACATGTGGACGCTCTTCGGTGTCAGTTCCGAGTAACAATCGAGGCCTCCGTTCCTACACGCTAATTTACCAAAAACAAGCTGGTAGAGCTGTTTTCCAAGAATAACTGTACCTCAAGCAACGAGAAACGCGCTAATTGTCTAGGATTCGTAGTAATTACAAGTCCGTCAAAACTAGGCAAAACTAGGCAGTAAAGGACACGCATGACTGACTCAGTCCTGTTCCTAAGCTCCCGGAGCGCCACAATGGACAGTCTCGGTCGATAATCCGGTCCAGCGCTCGTGGACATACGAATGGCTGTTGAGAATAGGGGAAAGTCAGGCGGCTATTGATCGGATCAGGGTCAATCACGAAGTTCGAAAGTTCGATTACGGAGAAAAAATTGCATACCAACGCCTCTTGGAATGGAAGAGACGTCTACGCGTCATTACAAACTTTTCACATCGAATGCAGTATGGTAAGAAGGACAATCATTGGGAGTGGCAGATCTCAGTCTCTGCAGATTACTGACTCTGCTGGAATGACTTAGAGCAGCGATGTTTTAGAACTGGTAGCTACAGCTATCAGTGAGATTCATAACGGTCCATTTGTTTCATTCCGGTCCATATGGAGCACACTCTAGAAATTTAGCGAAAAAAGGAAATTAGGGGTAATGTGGTGCATCTAGGCTACAACTAACAGATTTGACACTTGTAGTCAGCTGTGCTGCTGTATCAATGCTACTAATAAGGGGCATGACCACCTAAGCCATGATATTTATAGCAATCGCAACGCGACCATCCGCAGATATCCTTTGAGGAGAGGTGATATAACTTGATTAGATTACTTTGTATCATATCTATGCATCGGAAACTCCCTATGTTGCAATAATTCTTATAACACAAATAAAAAGTAGCTGGAAAGCTTTCATTGAATTTTCTACACTATTCGGCAAGGTGACTAACTCAAGACCAGAAATTAGCTTTTAGAAGTTGCAAACGTTTGTACGAGCAGTTTCACCTACAGCAATTAGCCTCTGTGATTCTTCTTGAAATTGAGTACAAATTTCCACATTCAAGGCCCTCCTACGCGATATCATCGTGAATCGACGAATAGAAGGAGAGACGTGACAAGAAGTGCTAAGGAGTGAAAGAGGTTGCAACGACGATTTGATCGCCAATTCCGTCCAAGAGATTTTCGCGAAAATTTTCGAAGTAGAGGAAATCTTGTGGTCCATTAGCTCTACAGAAGTAGACTTCACAAGTTCGATTTATTCTTATGAATATAGTAAACGAAAAGAGCAATTGCAGGAGTGAATCTGGATTTTGTGTTAAATAATGATTAGCACGAGTATGTGAGATCTTTGAAGAAATATGGAATGAGTGTAGCAAGGATCGCGGTAGATTCTTGTAAATTAAAAGATCAATTTATTGCTATTTTTTGTTTCAGCGATTCAATAACATATGATACCGCTATGGATATGATATGTCCGAAACAAAGAAGGTTTAACAAATCATTATATTGCATTAGCCAATGAATTAGAAGACTAATGAAATTGAAATCTGAGACTCGGGAAGAAAAATTACATTGATTATAATTGGCTTCGAAGAAAGAATAAGGAGAGCACGTCTATCAATAAATGGCGTCATCACACGAAAAAAGAAAACTGAAAGCAAAAAAGGCGAGAGAGAGAGTAACCCAGATTCAGCGTTGAAGGGGACCAGAAATGAAAACGAAGCATAATCAAGTCAAGGACTATTTGGACCAGCGCATGAGATGTGTTTCGCGACGGCGTTCCTCTCCTTGATACGATTCGCTCTTGTCATCGCGCGAACGCATTAGCATTGTTGCACAACCAATTCAAGTTACTTATGCATGCGATTGTAGGGGTTTTGATTGATGACCGAAGAGAAGTTGATCCAACAGGTGTTATGGAATAAATAGCTTGCAAAAACAAATCAACTGGGGGATGTAGAGACGCCAAAAGTGGAAGTCATGTGGGAACTGGGCTGGTCAGCGCAGCGCCCACAACAGCGATTTCAGTTCAGCATATAATCCGATGACGTTGTCAAAAACAATTGACTAGAGATTGAAAAATCAGTGCCGTGACTGCTTTGTAAGCGGATGCGTTTGTAAACGGGGTCTCCCGGCGTTTCAAGCGGACACAAAAGCCGTTTAAGCCGTAGTCGACCTGGAAAGGTAAAGATCGCGAAGCGCAGCCTCCGTATGATAGCTCGGATTTGAGCGAATTCGTAGCATTCATGTTTTGATGCGAAAACATGCGATTAAGTACCTTATAGCGAATTTATTCAAATGTAGCGTAAGCTACAAAGAACGACGCTTGTCCCATTAAGGTTATTGTAGTTATCCTACATTTATCTGTTTTTTCTGACTTCGTTCGCACTAGCACCTAGCATGATTTCACACTAGGACCGGTATTGTCTGAATCATCTTCGGAGGGCCGCGGCTCCATAAGAAAACAATGCAGACATTAATGCGCTCGTACTCCTTTGATGACGGAGACTTTCATAAGTGAATGGTGAAACAGCCTCCGCTCGTGTACTGTCAGCCAGAAGGCCAGTAGGAAAAAACTCACAGAACACAAATTATGCGAGGTTTGCAAGAACGCTTACACAGATCTGGTTGGTTTGAGACTCGGTGACAACTGGTTACGTGAGCGGGTTAATACCGCTTAGTTATAGCCCGTCCGCGGCCAACCGAATGTCAAGCTCTTTAACAACTGTACGACTAGCACAGGGCTTCGAAATCCGTCAACAGGATTGCTCATCTATCAGAGCCCTGACTTTGCCATAAATTGAAGGAGATGTGCTCAGGATCAATTGATTATTTTCAATAGCAACGTAAATCTGAAAAATTTTTCGTTGCACGTTTAATACTGTCATTTTCAAACAATGACAAGAGGATATGTAAGAGAAACTCGATAGGCACCAATTTTGACAGGCCAAGACAGGATAGCGAAAAAGTGACCGAGTACAGGCACATCCCGCAACTTCCATATCTGATCCGACGAGTTGAAAGGCGATGAACGGTTTTTGAACAAGCAGTTCAAAATGAAGAAAATTATGAAGAGCTTGAGACTAAATAGTCACTGCAGTAGGATGAGCAAACGTTTACGATTACAAGTAGTTCCGATTACTCAAGGTCTTTCACATGATTACTAGCAGGATGAAAATGCCAACATGCACTGAAAATTCAAAGGCGTCAGCAAAAGTTTTATAAGAGAGAAGATACATAAAGTAGAGAAATGCAGTTAGCTGCTGTGTTTTTCGCAGAACCTACATAGAGAAAAATGTGAATGAAATCATTCTCATCTCCGTAGCACGCACCGATGGTGCGATAATCGGCCGCTCCTGGGGATCGAACTTGAACTTGTTGTTCGAAACTCAGACCATGGTATATGGTTTGGGCCGGAATAAGCGTGCATAAGTTGGTGATTAAAATAGCAGCTGAGAGGAACGGCTCAGACGCATTCGATACGCTTCGACTCGCAATCAGGTCATACGGTGAAAGCGACGACTTTCGCCCTCTGATAGTACACGGATCCACGCCTCGACGAAGTTGAACACAAGATAGCGTAGGAGTAAGGTTGAATCGCCGAACAAACCACACCTCTGCCTGATCGCTATTCTTCGAAGGCCCGTAGAAAAAGCGTAGCACGTTACAGCCTTTGCGGACTTGCACGATACCGAAACATCGGTAGTGTACATCCCGTATTGTGGAATAATAACAATAAAAAGACGATATTTGTTCGCAATCACTGTTTGAACAATGCAATCAGTCGGTGCTGCAATAAAAGTAATTGGAACTGATGACCGAATGTAGTCTTTCCTCTATTCGTATGATCGAAATCCAATAACAACATCCCAACACTATTCCTCCGGTCGGATGCTTACAAGGGAATAGGCTAAAGACTTGATAAGAGATATTCATGGCCACTGAACTCCACTAGAAACGTTGAAACGCGGAACAAACATAGACAGCTGCACTAAGAAAACTGAGAAAGTTTGACTAGTCACTTGAGCGATTTGAAAATGTAGCGAAAGCTCTATAAAAGGTTACGCAGTTAATCAAAACCGTCACAAAATTGAAGGACAGGGTAGTCCATGCAACGCCGATCGCATTGGAATTCAGGTCGTCACTATTGAGCCGAACCACGGTGAGCACATTC